CTGAAATAAACAGTGGAGATTCAGCACTCAATGCATTTGCTCTTACAAAGGTGATTTGAAATGCCTGAAGGTCTAAAAACCATCTGCACAGGACTGCCAGATCTGGTACAGGAGGTGTGGGAGACCCATGTGCTCTTGGAGTGGTCCCTGGAAGCTGAGCAGGACACCATGTGGCATCTCAAATGACACTCTGTGCTGGTGTGTGCATATTAAGCAATTAAGGTGAGGCCCAAGGCAATCCAGGCAACCACACCTGGGAGCATTTCAATGCACACAGCAGTAGGCACCTGGCACCCATGCTGTGCTGTGCTCTCTTCTGACCTTTTGGCTGTTTGGGAGCTGAGACACCCAGCTCACATTTAGGCAATAACCATCAGATCTAAATTTAGGTGCCTCTGTCTGCAAGTTGCATCCCATCCTTAAAATGAGGTGACAGTGATCTCACTTGTGCCGTTTGTGCTTGTCCATGTAGACCAGTGATTCCTCTCACTCCTTGGCAAAGCATGAGGGCCATGGGCACCATCTTTCAGGCTGCCTACCATGAGTCAGCAGCGCTTGACTTCCTAAGTCACTTGGGATGATTTATTGTTTGTTTAGGGATTTTTTTAAACATATCCCCATTTATTAATCTTTTGAAGGTACAGGGTGTGTTTGATGACAGACTCTAAAAGATCTCTCAGGTATTCTGGAAAATGTCACTGTTACTCTTCTTATCTTTTCTTCTTTTTTCCCCCTGATAAAATTTGACACGCTGCCTTCCATGGGGTTTTTCATGTCTGTGTCTGTGTAGGAAAGTAGCTAGCAGGCCATAATGTGCTCTGACAAGATGCAAACAGGCCGGCAGTGACCAGTGACCTTTGAAAGCCTCTTGGGATGTTATCCCAGACATGCTGGGTCTCACTGAGCTGGTGCTAAACTCTTCTCCATCACTTCTTTCCTCCTCTCATTTTTCACAACTGCCTCCTTCTCGGCTGGCTCTCTAAGCCTGGGACCTACTTTAAAGCTAAGATTAATTTCATCTGAAGAAACCTAACATGTCTTTTCCTAAGAAGCCTCAGGATTTTACACTGAAATGAAAGCAGGAAGGACATGAGGAACTGTCCTAGGGCTCAGCATGGCCCACCTGGCAATGACTGCACTGTGCTGCCTTCCACTCAGTGAGCCCTCATCCCTGCAGGCCCCCCTGTACTTTTACAGGGTGTGCAAGAGAAGACCCTCTTGTATGTGGTTTTTTTTTGGCAACCTCCACATATGGCATTCAAAAGGGAGCAGCACCCAGAAACAAGCCAGCGGCCCTAAACCAAATGAACAAACAATCAATCAAACAAAACTAATGTGCAGGTGAGACAACCACGAGTGAAAAACACGGGCGAAACTGCCCTGGTTTTGGGAAGGAGCACAACCTCCATGGTGTGGGAGGGATTTCTAGGTTCAGGGGCTGCGCGTAGGGACCATGCGCTTGGTATGGATGGGCCCTGATGTCAATTCCCTAAGTAGGAAAAGAAAATACTTCCACTGAGTAATATTTAAAATAACAGATGGAGTCACAAACGGGTTGGAGACACTCAGGGCTGTGAATGGGGTTGCGCCAATGGGTGTGTCATGCCAGAGGCACAATGTAGAGTAAGGGGGAATTTGTCATCACTTTCATTCATTAACCGTTGGGGCCAACAGTCTGGACAAAGTGACTCAGTGCTTGTGAGCAGAGAGAACTGCTCCAGGAAGGGCAAACTGTCTTCATCAGGGAAGGAGCATGTGGCTGTCACTGGCAGAGGTGGAAGGGATGAGTGGAGCAGATGCAGCCCTGTTTCCAAATGTAGCACCCAGCAAGAACCCCAAGTAAACTGTCTCTGGAGTTGGGCTTGAAGCCACTCTCCTTCCAGGTGCTGTGGGCCCGTTTGCATCCTACAATCTCCTCATCTTCCACCTTGCAAGCAGTTATCAGGCAAGAAAGCATGCAAAGAGACAAAAGGCTTGGAACAGGGATGGGACCCACTGCTATTCATAGCTATGGTCCCCACCCATGGGTGTCAGGAGTCAGGCAGGAGAGCACCTTATCAGCTGCTTGGCTGAGCAGCGTTCAATCCTGTCCCAGGGCTGGGACAGGCAGCCGCTCCGTTTCCACCCCAAAGCAGGGGTGAGTGCCCCACTGACGTCAGGAGGCCTGACTTCATTTCCTGGCACAGGGACCGTATTTTCATGGCCTCTGCTGCTGGAGAGGAGAGGCGGTGGAACTGGAATAGGCGTGCTCAGCCACACCTCCCCAGCCTCCCGCTGTTAAAGCTCCCAACGAGGGCAAGCACAGGATTGCTGCTCCGGAGGTGACCGTGTTACTGGTTTGCAGGGAACTCGCCTCTTCTAGCCAGAGCCTCCTTGTTGACTTCTCCAGCAGGACCCAGAAAGGTAATTCAAGGCACTGTCCTACAGGATCCAGGGCAGACCTGCCTTTTCTGGCTGGGGACGTATGGCGTGCAGGGGGTAGGAGGGCAGGGGCACAGCGTGCCGTGGTCAACAGAGAAAGCCTCTCATCCTTAACTCTAACATGAGTTTGCCATCTGGAGCTGAGGGAGTTACGGCAGACTTTCCTGGGACATGATCTGAAATTTGTGGCTGGGTGGGTGTGATTTATGCATGAGTATCAATGAGAGGTGATGCCCAGGCTGGAGGGAGAAGACCTCAGCACTAAAGCAAGAACCATGCACAAGCTCCCTTGCACTGACTACAGAGCTCCTTGGAGATCCCAAACACTTCTGTAGGTGCTGCATGAGAAGACTCAGCTTCTGGGGGGCAACACTCACCCAGGAGACTGGGCAGAGACTCTTAATGCCTCATAGAACGTCTACACTGGAGGAAAAGAAAAGGGAGTAAAAATAAGCACAAGTGGCCCAGTGAGAAGGCAGTGAGGTTCTTCCCATCCTGTTTTTTCCAAGGACTGTGGCAGTTGACTGTGGCAAGTACAACTTGCAGTAAGCACCAGTCAGGACCCAAGGCTATGGGTGTGCTCTGTGCTATCCTGGGGTCTCACCCTGGCTCTCTGGACTCTCCACCTCTCCCAGCAGTGGGCACCAGTCTATGGAGCTGTGAATAGATAAGCTAATCTGATCAACAGTGAATGGCTGTGGATAAAATTGTAGTATTTGCTGTCTGGATTTCAGAAAGGTTCATTACTTATTATTCACAAATATCCAGATATCTTTCAGCTATCCCTCAAATTTTGTGAACAATGGTTTTTGAAAACTCCTGCATGTGTTCTTCACTAATTCCATTCTATCCATGAGTCCAGAGATCCCACATATTTGAATACTTTGCATTTTATTGTAGGCAGCTTTTTGAAGAGCTGCACATCTCCTTTTACACAGCAAGGTTAAAAGCTGGAAAAACATTCCAGCATTTATAAGCAGGTCACATTGACGCATATGTGGAGCTGAGAGGGAAAAAGTGATATTTTTCCCCTTCGTTCATCCCCTGATTAGATCAACTGCCATTTATTGAAGGCTCAACCTATACTCCCTAAAATCTGTTGGAAGGGTTTTAGAACCAGCCTCATAACTGCAGTGTGTTGTTCTGGAGGGGGAAAATCAAGGCAAACAGCATAGTGAGCACTGAAGAATAAATTCTGCAAAGTTTACTTTTTTATTTATCTATCAGAAAAGAAAGCCTTTGTTTTTTTAGTGAGGTCATCATTAAGGCCAGATTCCCCCAAGTTTTATGCCAATATTGTATCTAAACTCCAGTTTTGACAGATTTTAGACACCTGATCTTAACTGAGCAATTTGGTGCCTAGGTAGTGTCCAGTGTCCTTGTGCAGTGTTTTCTGCACGTGCTTCAGGCTCCCAGGGAAGTGGGCAACTTTACTCCCCTCGGCAATGGGCAGAGCTCATCTAAACAGCACTCTTATCTCCTGCAAGACAGGCTTCAACCGGGCTTACACAGAAAGCACTGAACTTCTCATAATGAGATGGCAGGAATGTGCTGGGTGCATTCGAGACCTTGTCCATCCTTGATTGATGGACCCCTCAAGAAGTAACAAGATGGTTATTTCTCATGTAATGAGCAGCATTACCTCTGACATGTCAGGCTTCTAGCCACTGTAAAAAATATTCTGGGGAGGGGACTGAAGTCTTTGGGATGGCTCTTATTGCTGTGCTAGAAAGAATATGAGTTATAAGGGTCATGGTTGATGGCCAATATTTGCTATTTAATTTGGAGTGAGAAGAGCTATGCTGGGGGAATCCAGGTGAGCTATATGCAGGGTAAAAGGCAGTTAAGGTTCTCCTTCATTCATACACATAAACCAAAGCTAAGCATGTTTCAGAGAAAACAAGGAAAGCAAAAGAGGGAAAAGAAACAGAGTAATGATTTTCCTGTTCTGCAGTGTTCATCTGTGAACCTCACTGGTACAAAGTATGGATGTTGTCTGAACTTGTCAAAAGAGTGTAAACTGTATTATGACTGGCAGCTGCCCTTGTATGACAAAAGTGATAAGGCAGCTCAGGCTCTGCGCTGCTTGGCACCAAGTTAAGACCTGTGAAAGCCCACCTCCCTACTCCCCACGTTCCTATGACAGTGCACAATCCCAGGCACAGTGCAGAGGACAAACTAAGTGAATTGCCTCCTGCTAAGGGGCTTGTCTTGACCATGATAGAGAGCTGATGCCAAACAAAGGGATGGCTCTGCTCCCACAGCCCCATGTCCTTAGCACTGAGGTGTCCTTTCCTAATGGGGTGGGGATGGGGGTCTGTCCTGCCTCTCCTTCCCCACTGCTGGCAGCACCCAGCTTGTGGCTGCCCCTCCCCTGGCAGTGTTCAAGGCCAGGGTGGCTGGAGACTTGAGCAACCTGGTCTAGTGAAAGGTGTCCCTTCCCGTGGCAGGGGGTTGAAACTGGGTGAGCTTTAATGTCCCTCCCCACCCAAACCATTCTAGGATATGACAGCCTATGTCTTTTCTGCTTCTACAGCTTTGGGGAAACATTTCACAGGGAGTTCGTCCAAGACGAGAGGATGACGTCTCCTCCCCAAGGCTGTGGCAGCATCAATGACGACTATTACTTTCTTTGTGACATGGAGGCGGCCTGGGGGATTGTCCTGGAGTCCCTGGCTGCAGCTGGCATCCTCGTCTCCATTTTCCTCATCTGCTCACTCTTCTTTCTCATCTGCAAAGTCCAAGACAACAGCAAGCGGCACATGCTCTCCGTCTATTTCTTCTTTCTCTTAGGCACGCTCGGCATTTTTGGTCTCACTTTTGCCTTCATCATTAAACTCAACGACAGGACTCGCCCCACTCGCTTCTTCCTGTTTGGAGTCATCTTTGCTCTCTGCTTCTCATGCCTCCTCACCCATGCGTGCAACCTCAACAAACTAGTGAGAGGAAGAAAGCCCTTCTCCTGGCTGGTGTTGCTGCTCCTCCTTGTTTCCTTTGCCCTGGTGCAAGTTGTGATCAATACTGAGTACTTAGTCACCATGCTAGTAAACCAGAGAGACGACTTTCTGACTATGTCTGTGGAGAAGACTAACAAGGACTTTGTCATGCTTTTGATCTATGTGCTCTTCTTGATGGCTCTGACCTTCTTGGTTTCCATGTTCACATTCTGTGGGCCATACAAAAGCTGGAAGAGGCACGGGGCACACATCTTTCTCACTGTCCTGTTCTCCATTGCCATTTGGGTAGTGTGGATCACTATGCTCACAAAAGGCAACACAGCCTTAAACAAACCAAGCTGGGATGATCCTGTCGTGGCCATTGCTTTGGTGTCCAATGGATGGGTCTTCCTGATAATGTATATCGTGCCTGAAATTTGTTTCCTCACTGCTCCTCTGAAGCTGGAGGACTACCCCCCAGAAAACGACTTCTGCCAACCCAAGTTCATAAAGCAGACAACTGGAGTAGACAACCATGCCTATACCCAAGATGAGCTTGTGCAAGGTATGGTGAAGTGAACGACTCCACTGTTCCCCAGTCTTAAGCACACATGCACCATTCATGAGCTGAAAGGTGTAGGAAGGCTACAAGAAAGTGTTTGAAGATGATAGATAATTTAGAGGTAGGAAAAAGTTTCAGACTGGTGAAACTTCAGAAATGCAAGTGAAAATTAATCTCCAGACAAGAGGGAAAAGAGTAGGGACCAGTGCAAAAGGCAAAGATGTGTGGAAGTGACTGAGTAGGAGACTTACCATGTATCAGGGCTGAGAAATAAGTCCTTACGACTCTGTTACATCTGGAAAGTTTGTGTAAAAATTGAGGTTTTTGTTTATCTCTCAGCAATGCTCCAGCTCTTCAGACCTCTCCAGGTTATACCTTGGAGATTATTTATTCCCAATTCTGATATGGTTCCCATTATCCATTTAGAAATGAACCCATCATCCAAAAAGGAGACAAGAAGCTCTTACTTTTCTGTATGAAAACCAGAAATTTCTCTGCAGGCATTTCTCATGCCTACTTGGACAAAGCAACATGTTTTATCAGTTGAGGCTTCCCATATCTATGTATAGGAGATGTGACTGCACTCCCTGTGGATCTGCTACTGATATCACATTTATCCCTGGAGTCAGACCTCCAGGTTTGTAAAAGCATAGCCAAAAAAGGCTGTGCTCTCCCAGGGAGTACCACAGAGGGGGTCTTACACATGCATGTGGGAGGGATTTGGCTAGTGATGATGACAGCAATTATGAGGCAACAGGAGGTGTCTAAACTCCAAGGCCACCTATGTCCTGTTATTTAGAATACCATTCATTCAAAAGCTTTCATACAGAAATACTTAGTAAGTCACCCACCTATGGATTTTAACCCATTCCTGCCTGCATACTGCATAGTTTGATCAGTCTAAAACCAGGCCCTGTGAGTCTCCCTTGATGTGGTATTTCCAAACTACCATATAACACTAACTCACTAACTTTCCCCCCCTCTTGTCTTGTGACTCAGGGGACACAAGAGACAACAGCTACTCCCCGTACTCTTCTCACTTTCCGATGAAGGTAAGTTCACACCCCACTTTACCTGTTTTGCCACTTGTAGGCTACTGTTTAGGTCCTGAAAGGAAGGGAAGAAGAAGGGGCAAAGACAGACGGACCTAGAGCAGGCTCTTTGGAGGCAGACAGGAGCTTCCCGTGGTGATATGGGAATGGGTGATACCATAACGTGTGTTCATAGAGGTGTTTGTGGCTGAGGGGAGGGAGCTGTGATATGTCCAGGAAAACAGGAAGGCAAGAGGGGCCTGAGGCAAAGTCTGAGGTTGTGGTTTTCAATACTTCTGGACTTGACGTCACATAAGACGTCCTTTCTTTGAGCACTGTTCCTGCAGTAGACTGTTCCCTTTCCCCAGGAGATCATGCTCCTTTCCCCAGCCCATGCCCTGAGTGTCCTGAATGACCAGCAGAAATCACTGGAAGTTACAGTGCAGCTCCAGAGTAGGCAGTCTGTGTGCCCCCATGTTCACTCAGCAGTCCTCCTTCAGACCACAGCATAGCTCACATCATGTCCCCACATGCCCTCTGGTTACATGTCTCCATTTGTTCTGCCATGATCCTCTTCCACAGCTCCATCATCACACATTCAGGAAACCTTCAGTTCTGTTTCCCCCTCCACCTCCCTCCCCCCGTTTTGTTTTTGTTTTCCTTCTAAGCCTTATTCTATCAGTTCTCTCCAATTTCGAAAGGTAAAGACTTTTGTGTTTCCTTTTCAGACCATCGATCCCCAAGATGATTTCTCCATCCCTCGGGCCAAGGCCCGTACAAGCCCATACCATGACTACACCGGTGGGAAAGGCCCCATGTAGCAGCTCCATAGTGAGCAAAAAGACTAAGTGCCCGTCAGCAGAGGCATGGGGAATGGGCCACACGGTGACAAGAGAGTCAATCCTGCAGAAGAGACGAAGTCAACACACGCTGGCAGAAGAGGGATCCTCTTTTCCCCACACACCTTGTAAGCCCCTCTCATTTCTCACACGCAGCTCTCAGACACTGCTCTGGCTGTCCTGTTCCTGCTCACTCTTTTTCTCTGTGGCATGGAGCTCATCTCTTCTGTCAGAGCAACGTGTCGGGAAGAGCTTGTCCTGGACTATTTTCAGCAG